TGGAGTTCCACAGGGTTCAGTGCTAGGACCAATTGTGTGTGTGAGATCCTCGTGACGGTCTGCAAAGTAGCTGTCTGAGCTGCATGAATACACTCTGTTTGTTTCTGTGTGTGTTTCAGCATCTGTAAATGTGACGTGTGTTCTGAGTTTATGTGTTAAATGCCATGAATGCACCATTGTGACTTCTCATTGGGTAAAGTCAGTAACCTCTGCATTCAGGCTCCCCCACCAAGAGAATCTAAGAGAAGTCCGAATTCAGGACTGCGTTCAGGACCCCTCAAACTGCTTTAAAGTGGTTTGGATGGTGCTCGAGTATTCTCGAGGGTCAGTTATCAGCTGGTGTGGCTTCCTGTAGTTAAACTGTAGTTAAACAAAGTCCCGAAGGACATCAGGATCATAGCTAAAGTAGGATGAGCTAAAGAAATCCCTCCTGGAGGTTAGGATCACTCTCTTTCACTTTGCAGGTTAAAACATCGTCACGCACACGCGACGTCCTTTCACCTCATGTAGTGAGCTCACTTCTCTTTTGCTTTGAGAGTTAGTGTTCCTCGTGCTTTGATTTTAGTCTGTGATTTGGTTCAGCTGTGTCTCCATCTGCACAGCTGTCTCCTCTTGGTTACCCTCCTGTCACTGTCCTTCAACAGAACATTTGTTCCCCTTACCCCAGTCTTCTGCTAGCATTTCCTCTGTTTTTGGACTTTGTGATTTACCTTTGGGATTTCCTGCATTCACTCAATAAGAGTTCAGCTTTGTCTGTCTTCATGACTCCTCTGACACCTACAGCCTTCTGACATGTTGGAGTTTCTCTGTAATATTACAGGGTTTTTACTTTGACATATAAAGTGCTCTCAGCTGACCTTTGTTTTGATTTGAAGCTGAATAAATAAAATGAAGTTTAGCGCAGCAGGCTCTGACTGAAGGTCTGATTTCCTGTTGATGGTCATATCAGGGATACGGGGCTAGCGATTTTTCCAGTCGGGCTACCAAAATCTATCTCTGCCCTGCCCGTCGGGCTATCATAGGAAGGAAAAATATATGTCAGTGCTTTTGCGTTCTTTCGGAAATGTAGCTGGGTAATTATGTCATTGGCATCGGTGAGCCACTGTCAATATGTGACATATTGAAATCGCGTTTGAATTTGCGCTTGTTTTTTGCTTTCACTT